TGGTGTCAGTTTCACCCAGAATGTTGGACCAACCATGGAAAAACAAATTGATACTAATTACTTTGCTTAAAATGAAATTTCAGTGGCCATGTTGCATGGCTCAATGGTGCCATTTAAGTATAGCATGAGCCATGTTTGGCACACTCCGATCTGGAACAACATCCAGGGTGTGGTTCCTCTTTTGTTCCGATGTCGCACAGAACAGAATTAGACAGCTATGCTGACGTACTTGTATTACGAGCATTGGTCAAATCTAGGACTGAACGTGTATTATTGGGATTTGGACTCTGATTTCAGCTGGCTTCAATAGTATTTAGAGGCTAGGGCACCTTTGATTTTGCTTCGCATGGACTCTAGTGCATAATCCCTACCTAGAAATCTATATTCACTGATTTTCTCTGGTGAATTATTGGTTTAGTCTGTTCTTTCCATTTTGGAAAAAATCCCGCGTTGTGGTTTATCATCTGCCATCGGGTCGACCGAGCTGACCGTTTGTTGCAGATACGCTTTGGACATTGGGATTTGTTTGCAAAAGCAAGGTCTCACCATGTCCCAGCATATAGTAAAGACATATCCTGGCTGGTGGTTTCAAACATGTCTTATTTTCCATAATATTTGGGATAATCCTTCCCATTGACGAACTCATATTTTTCAAGATGGTTAAAACCACCAAACAGTATCAAATATTGCCAAATGTAGGCGAAATGCGCATATTTGCTATCCACATTTGGCTACAGCATCCAAAACCTGTCGCTGGCATGAGCACAATTGGGGTCCCACAAGATGCGAATTTTATGCAACTCAAAAATTGTCCACTCTTAATTATTCATATATGATATATAACTATAGTGAAGTCACTAATTCATATATCTATATATCATATATGTTGCCCGGGAAGATGGCTCATCCATGATTTGTTGGAAAGCACGTATTTGAAGAACATGAACATGTGGGTTTCCAGGCAGTTTTACATAACTTCTTGAGCCCATTTTATGGCTATGCCAGGTACAGATTGCCGATAGCCATCGAAGGGCCCTGTGGAGGTCCGACTTGAAAATTGATGGCCGTGGCTCCAAATTAGGGGGGAAATTCACCACAAATGCAGCTTTACAGCTGGTTAGAGTGGTTGGAAGTATGGTGATGATTGCCATACTGTAGACCCTACTTATTGGCGCTATAATCCATAATCTGGTTGGTGGTTTGGAACATTTTTTATTTGTCCATTCAGTTGGGAATCTCATCATCCCAACTGACGAACTCCATCATTTTTCAGAGGGGTAGGTCAACCACCAACCAGTAGTCCAAATAATATGATTCGCATCCCCGATAAAATGGCAATGGGAAAATCGAAGTGAATGGTGGATTTTCCACGGCCAAATTTGATTCCTGGATGGTAAATCTGGGATTTGCGTCGATGATGGTGTCATTTCCCATTGGTTAATCCAGCAGAATTTGTTATGCACTCTTGAGGTTGTTGAGGCCATTTCAACTTGTTTTATCAGAAGCAGAAGCAATCTGGTTGGTGGTTTGAAACATTTTTCCATACCAGTAGTACCGCACAAGGCGGTGGCGGAAGTTTCAAAATAGGAAACCTATAGGACTATAGGTTGGTTGTTGTGAATCAGGGATAGCAGAGCGAAGCCACTGGTGGACTGAAAGGTGCTTGATCTCTCTCTCTCTCTCTTTCTCTCTCTTTCTCTCTTTTTCTCTCTGTTTCTCTACCTTTCTCTGATTATCTACCTAACTACCTACTGATCTATCTGTTTATCTATCTATCTATCTATCTATCTATCTCCCTATCTATCTATCTCCTATCTATCTATCTCTCTGCTATCTATCTATCTATCTATCTATCTATCTCTATCTCTCTCTCTATCCATCTATCTATCTATCTCTATCTCTTTCTATCTACTATCTATCTCTATCTGTCTATCTATCTATCTCCTCCATCTATCTATCTATCTATCATTCTATCTTTCTATCTATCTTTCTATCTATCTATCTATCGATCTATCTATCTATCTCTCTCTCTCTATCTATCTATCTATCTTTCTTTCTTTCTACCTATCTATCTACCTATCTGTCTATCTATCTATCTATCTATCTATCTATCATTCTATCTATCTATCTATCTATCTATCTATCTATCTATCTATCTTTCTATCTATCTTTCTATCTATCTATCTGTTTATCTATCTATCTATCTGTCTGTCTGTCTATCTGTCTATCTGTCTATCTGCAAGTTTGAAAACGAAGCTATTCTGCGAGACTTCCTCAGTTTTTGAACTTGACAACATCAAAAATTCAGAAATTCTGCAGACTTCCTTATTTTTTGAACTTGACAACATCGAAAACAAAGCAATCCTGCGAGACTTCCTCATTTTTCGAAGTTGACGACATCAAAAACAAAAGGCTGCTGCGAGAATTCCTTCAAAAATGGAAATTTGAGTGCAGAGCTACGGCCTCGTACCAATGCGTTTTGTGATTTTTTTAGCCCACCTGTCTAAAGTACTGCGCCTGCCACGAAAAATTAATGCCAGGTCATACGAAGTGCTGCACCTGTCACGCAAAATCATCTCAGCAAACCTGAAGATCTGATGACCTCCGAACATCTCTGATGAACAAGTCTTTTGTACTGCGCCTGCCACTCGAAATGCATCTCTGCAGATCCTCTTCAAATGTCCCACGCCTGCCATCGTTTTTGGAAATGCAACGAAACCCTCACGTTTTGCTCACTTTTGACTTGACAAGGTGCACAATCCCTTGCGCCTGCCACGCGAAACGAACTCTGAATGTCCAACTCCGTACCCCTCAGTTTTTTACACTTTTGACTTCGAAATGTGCTTCGCGCCACAACGGCGTGCACTTTTCCGACATCTCAACTTCCAAAAGTGGTCCGACAATGGTGTGCTTTGTACATTTTGACTTGGACATGTGCTTCGCGCCACAACGGCGTGCACTTTTCCGACATCTCAACTTCCAAAAGCGGTCCGAGGCTGAGGTGTTTTGTACATTTTGACTTGGAAATGTGCTTCGCGCCACAACGGCGTGCACTTTTTCATCTCTCATCTCGCCAGCTGGCTCCGCACCCGCCGCTTTAGCGAGCCTACTTTTCGACCCTCCGGAGCCTCAAATCATTGGAAAAACATAGTGTTTCGCGACTTTTCTACCTTTTCGCGGATCTGCATCTTCTTTCTGCTGACTCTTTCTCTTCTCTGATCTTCTCTCTTCTAATCTTTCTCTTCTCTCTGCCTCTGCCCTGCTCTGCTTTTCATCTGTCCATATTGTCGGAAGTTTGACTTCTAAACTTCCTTCGAATATTTTTCAAAATGGTTAAAACCACCAACCAGCAATGTAACAGTTAGTAGCTGAAGCAATGTCACAGTGAGTCAATGACAATAACGCCACCCATCTAGCTCCGCAGGGCGATGTGCCTGTCAGAGTACGTGACCTACTACTAATGCCATCGAAGGAGAAGGATCCCGAGATGTGGGCGGCTGTGCACATTGCAGTGCTCCGGAAACATCACTGTTTGGGTAGCAAGTGTTGCGGGCAGGCGCATGAGTACTCCCAGCGCTTTGGCTTGCGCAAGGATCCAATAGCAGCTGTGGAATAGCAGCTTTGACTGTCAAAGGCAGCTGCTGAAAAAGCGATGGCAGAGGAACTTCAATGCCCTGGAGAGAGAGCAGCGCATGCCAGTGGATGAAGACGGCAATGATGCCGGGATGGCAAATCGGCAGCATTGCCATTGCTTTGTTTTTCTTTGGGAATCTACTGGGAATATGTTTTATTTGTTTGGGTCCTCTTAGCAAATCGAAGTGTATGTGTTTGATCGCTTTTGCTCTGGTGTAATCATCGACAAAAAACGTGTTATTTTGAGGGTGGATAAAGACCCACGGCCATCTTGCCATCTGGTCAGAAAAATCCTGTGATAGACTATCCAGCATTGAACATGATTTATCCTTCCTTTAGCTTGAAAATGGCTACCTGTTGTACCCACTTCAGGGGTTGCAACCATCAATTCATTAGGGCTCTGGGGCGATCTTTGGCAAGTGGAAGATGTGGGCAATTGAGCGTTGGGACCTTTTCCGGGCACACTCAATCAGAACCGCAATTGGTTTCAGGTGAACAACCCCAAAAAATAATCGTAGAAATTCACCAAACTGATACACCGAAACATTTAACCCACTCGTTCATCAGCTTCATACACCCCAAAAAACACTGCTAGAAATCCCCGCGGCCACACGACTAGTTGCAGTTTGTTGGTTTTTTTCGTCCCCGTTCATATGCGGTAAACCCGGTGCCACGCCCCATCCCCAATTAGATCCAATTAGGGTTTGTTGCTGCTATCTTTTCAGGTTCACCTCTGCAAGAATGGTCACATTTAGAGTTCAGAATGCACAATCCCATACCATAAAACCCAGCCAGCTGCCCCGCAGCTAAGTTGGTTTCTGATTTTTACAGATTTATGATGCATTTGTCGATTCTGTAGCTGAATAGGTTTATAAGCCAACTTTTTGAACAGGGCACACTTTGTCTTTGCTGAAGGATACATCCTTGGTTTTGGTGAGACAATCCCAATGTTTCATGGTTCAAACTCAGATATAAGTAACACTCTTAAACATTCATAAGAACCCAACACGAGCGCATACGATCGCCATGGATTTCTATGTTGATTTCATGGTTTCAACTATGAACAAAAACTACCATCCATCACTGAACGAGAAGGTGGTGCCCCCCCATTTATGTTTGTTGGTTTATCACCCCCATTATCTAGTTCGATATTATCTGCCACAAACCATAAAATTCACCGAGTTACAACCCGCTTAGCTAACTGAATATGATAATATAGATATATTACCATTCAATACCATTCAGCATAACAAAGCAAGTTGTTTTTTCCACTATCACCATTCACTCAGCATATCGCCCCAAGGGATCCCCCCCTTGGATCCCTTTGGATCCCTTGGATCTGCAGACTGTTGCGCTCCTCCGTGACGATGCTGATCATGGACGCTGGCGTCACGGTCTTCGCGGAGGGCCTGGCCGGAAATGTGCAGAAGGCGCGGGTCCGGCGCGGCTTGGGACGAAGCACCCGAAGCGCACCGAATGGGACCGCTAGGTCGATCTAGGTCAATCTGAAAAATGGATACAAACTAATCCTAACTATAGTCTTTTGGTATGGGAATATCTACGGTCACCAGCAAAGAATCTGTCATTTTTTTGCAGGGCATCTGGAAGATTGGCAATGTTTGTTGCACCCGAAGCACCCAATGGGACAGCCAGGGATCAACTTTAAAGCATTGGAAATATTGGAATATCTAGTCATATACCGGTTAAATATGGGAAATATCATTTCAATGGAATATGGAATCTATGATGGGATAAAACAAATTGGATGCAATGAGAGTACCAACTATAGACCTGGGTTTGTTGAAGTTTTGATTGTGTGTTTTCCTTGTTCCTTTTTGGGCCAGAAGTTGAGTGGTGAAACATGGGTAAAAATCAACTCTCGACCGACCCAAGGGAGAAACATGAGGAAGTGAAGATGATTTCACCATGAAAATGGTGAACGAAAGGGATATGCTTGAGGGATATGATTTATGATGGTGTACTTGTAATACCCTCTGGTAAACGTTTACATAACTATAGAAAATCACCATTTATAGCTGGGTAAATCAACTATTTCTATGGCAATTTTCAATAGCTATGTCAATTTACCAGAGGGTATGTGGGTGTAATGGGGGTTTACCATTAGACATGGGAAGTGAAGATGATTGGACCTTTCGAAATAGGGGGACATTAGCCAATAAGAATTGGGATGTTCCTTCTGATGCCAGCTGGGGGATCTGGCCTAGAAAGTATGGTCATTTTGAGAATGGATATTCTGAGAATGGTTTCGAGAAATCCTACATCAATGGAGGTTTATAGCTAGGAAAAACATCTAAGCGGGTTTTCCAGCAAGCCATGTTTACCTCGCTTGACCACAGACATGATGCAAAACCACGTGGGGAAACGATCCCAAAACACGAATCGAAGCAGCGATGCAGAAATCACCAATGAGATGAAACAGAATCTGGCTTGAACCAGAAAAAATGGAGAAGCCAGATGGATTTATTCGTAGAAGATTTGGGCGTTATGATAATTAATTATCACTATTGTAGTTACAAATTGTTATTTTTATTATGACATGTATGGTCACCGACAGAATTATGGAAAAAAATAAAACGTTCAGCTTAGACAGGCGGCGCCTGCGTCCGATTTTTCCATAATTGGATTTTTCCCCATAAGGGTTCAAAATATCCCGGAAGTGATCCGAACCTTTTTTTCCATAATTCTTGGAGGTGGCCATTATTTCCATAATTGATTTTTCCTGTAAAATCAGGGGGCTAGGGCAGATTGACCGGTTTTTCCATAATTATTTTTTCCATAATTAATGTTTGGGGCTCCACCTGTTGGACATGTCATGGATCCACAATTCAAACCCCTTTTTTTGGGGGGTTATGGAAATATGTATGCAAATGCAAGTATGTAGTATCAACCCAATTGGTGGCTTGGCAAAAGGATACATCCCGCATATGTATGTACGTACAACAATGAGTTTTGGTGGTGCAATTGTATATCAATGGAAGACTTAGGGGCATATACCAGATCTTTAGACACATATTTTCTATAATTCAATATTCCCCCTTAAAATGCATTCAAATTGCGAACATCACATAATATTATGTATATCAATGGAAGACTTAGGGGCATATACCAGATCTTTAAACACATATTTTCTATAATTCAATATTCCCCCTTAAAATGCATTCAAATTGCGAATCGATGGACATACAGTCACCGACAGAATTATGGAAAAAACAATAATTATGGAAAAAATAATTATGGAAAAAAAAAAGGTTCGTAACTTTTCTATCATAGACAGGCGGCGCCTGTAAATTGAAACGTTTTTTTTTCCATAATTCTGTCGGTGACTGTATAGCAATCTCAAACATAGAAAAGTATTCATGTCATCACCTTAGAAAAGCTGGATTTTAGGAAGTTATTGATCTTTTGGGTGCTAAAAAAAAGTAAACAGAATGGCGATTTGATCCTGCCGCCTCAGGGCTTCGGCATGGGATCGAAGAAGATCACGCCGGTGGAGGATGGAAGCATTTTACCCCTGGCAGGGTTGATGAATTTTATATGGCATTTATATGGGATTTAACCATCAAACATAAAGAATTATAGTTGGTATAGTTGATACATATTGATACATGATGGTTGGTTGATGATTAGTTTGGGGATTACACTACCCTGCATGTATTGGGGATTATCATAATTCAAGAAGGGGGAATCCCGAAAAAACACCACCAGTATAATGAAATGAGACATTTTGAACACTGCTCACGACTGGGGTTTCCCAAGTCATGGGGGAATCCCCAGTCGTCACCATTGCTTTCAATACAATGTAACATGGTCTGACTTGGATGATTGGATAATCTGGGTACCCCCCATGACTTAAGAAATCTCAATCTATATACTGGGACAAGCAAAAAGGATAAGCAAGGGATGATTAATGGATGATTCATGGACAATTCTTGGATAATCCATGTTCGCTATTGAACTCATAGTGTTGTTGGATTTGTTAACAACTGGGATAGTAATGGGAATGGAAACCATCAATTATAGAGATTTTATGGAGTTTCTAACTATCAAAGACATGGAATATACCCTCTGGCAAACTAACATAGCGAACTGGAAAATCACCATTTATAGCTGGGTAAATCAACTATTTCTATGGCCATTTTCAATAGTTATGTCAAATTACCAGAGGGTATATCCCAGTAAATCCCATGAAAGATCCCATGAATTCCCAGGAAAAGTCACCATTTTTAACCCCATAAAAGTTGACCAGGGATTTTTACCATTTAACACTGTCCATCTAGGGTAATTGAAAAATACCATAGGATTGATGAGTTATGAAAGCCATTTGACACACGGTTGGTTTCCTGGGAGTTAACTGATTTAACCATCGATTCATGGGATGATTGTGTTACCCTCTGGTAATTTGTTACAGTTTGCTATTGAAAATTGCCCATAGAAATAGTTGATTTACCTATTCAAGATGGTGATTTTCCAGTTCGCTATGTTAACCTTGTTGACTCATTATTAACTGGAATTGAGATTGGACATACCGGATTTAACTATCTATAATAGTGGTTTTATTAGGGCTTTAACTAACAGATAGGGATATCCGGGATATCACTGATGATTGATGATTGATTGATTATTAATTGGCTGTAGGGGGTATACCCTCTGGTAATGGAGGTTTAACCATGAACAAATACGAAAATTATGGGATTCTATACGAATCATTGATAATTGATTCGTTATTGTAAGGAGTGTTGGGGGAGGAGTTATTTGGTGGGGTGTTAGCCCATCTACGAACGGCTGGTCCGCGACCTCTGCCGCCACCTCTTTGTGAACCGCCTGGGCAAGGGTGGAGCGGGCAACATCCTCGAGGCGATCGCTCCTTAGCCACTCCTGGCCCCCCCGGAACGTGGTTTCCGTGGCTTTGTGTTCTCTGTCGTGGGGGGACGTTAAACCCCCACCCAGCCCCTATCAGTGTCAGGTAGCTTTTGGCACGGCTGGAAGACGTCAAAAGAGATATACGTCTGTGGATGTCACTATGGACCCGCTGCGCCGTGGCAGCAGCTGAGCAACTGCATTTATTTACGGTGATGAAAACATGTATTCGGCGCAGGCGGATTTTAAGTCTAATCCACAGACAGGTGCAAGACGATGCGGGGGTACCCTTAAAACGACGTCCGTTTGATATGATACATGAGCGCTGTTTGTTTCTCATTGTTTTTCCACAAAACGACGCCCCTGAACGTCTTGGTCTTGATCGTCCGCTTATTTTAAAACATTTTGAAACTGAACTAAATCCTGGAAATCAAGGAAAATCATATTACATCCCCATGTTCTTTAAACTGTATCCAACATGTTGGACACCAACGGCACCAACAAAAAAACACAAAAAAAAACAGCAGCTTTGCTGCCTCCCCCAGCTGTGACAGAGGGGGTTGTACCATGGGTCATGAGTGTCATGCAGATTTATCGGAAGGTGGCGAAATTCTGTAAAAAAAAGCTGCTGACAATCTGTAAGGAGTTTTGCTATGAGGGTTATTGGGGTTCTTATAACATCTTATAACCCATTTTGGGGAACCTATCAACCAACTAGTACAATAAGATGGGATAGGAGTATTTTTCATGGCTCAAGTGTTATTGCCTGATTGCGTTGATTATTGGATATGACTGTTATTGAAAAGTTATCACTGGGGTGTCCCAATTTCTGAATATCTCAACATTTGATATTAATGATGTGAAATTGAAACACTTGCCAGGTATACAAGTGAATAAAGCGAATTATTATCGTGAGGGTAACTCTTACTTACCCCACGGGTTTCATCCCTTTGACTGGGATTTTTTTCACATGGCCACAGGGAATTCCCGCGCTAAATGGCTTCGGGAAATGAACCCAAAATGGTGAACTTTCCAGCTAGCCATGGCCATGGCCACATGGTACTACTTTTTGTTGCTTGGTGAAGTAGTTTTTTTTGTGTTTTATTGCTTTTACTTGCCAAAAGATATCATGATGACTATATGTTGATTATTATTGTTACAGATTATTACTATTATGATCATCAATATGTGAATCATATGCAACATCGTTACAATACGTAATATTTAAGGCATAATAGTGTAATCATAACATCATCATTATTTATTATGAATAGTTGTAATTACAACCCATTATATATATATATTTATTTATTTATATTTTAAAACTACAAATAAAGCCATTCATAACCGTTCCCGGGAAATTCTCATATGGTTTCTATTCAAAGATATCTTCTGCCGAGTTCCAAGGGATGATCGGCTCGATAGGAATTGTTGCCCTCTGATGAACGTTTACATAACGAACAGGGCCATAGAAATAGTTGATTTACCCAGCTATAAATGTTGATGTTCAATAGTTATGTAACAAATTGCCAGAGGGTATTTGAAATGTTCAATTTGAAATTGTGATATTACAATGATGATCATTAGATATGGTGAACATGTGTGTATAATCTATATTCAGAATATATGATATGTTTATATATGATGAATAGAATATCTACTTCAGGATGATTATAGTGTGTGTATAATATTGTTTTATTAGTTTTCTTTTATTCTGATGACAACAGCTTCGTTTTGCACAGAACTTGTCTTTCCGACACCAGTCAAGAACCCCCCATTGTTTTGGTCATGTTAAATCGTGGATGTATATACCATTTAAAGTTGGCCGGCCGCACGAAAGAATGGCTTACAATGCATTAGTTCATGCGATTTCAACCAATTCATAGATTAAGGGGTTGAACTACCAACAATTTGGGAAACCCAACTGATGTAGGGTGGTTTATTCCACCCCTGGGTCCCCGAAAAAAAAAATCTGGCAATGAAAGGTATCCCACAGCATCCAGTATGATTTAGGCTAAGTGCGTGGGATTTCCTATTGGAGTTTTCCTGAAATGGGGGTACCCCAGATCATCCAAAATTAGACCGCGTCAACATTGACACATATTGAAACCCGTGGTTTTGGGAATTCATTTCAAGAAACCCCATTAGAAATACCATATTTGATTACTGAAGGGCACCAGTTCAATCCCACTTTTGCAAGAAAATCTCAAATCTTTTCTGGTTATTTACATGTGAAATGACATGTGTTTTGTTTGACCATAAATCACTAGGTTTGCTGCAATCCCATGTTTGCTGCGGCCAGAGAGAATCACCACATTGTCAGGAAGTTAACACTACCTTCAACGACGTGAAAGGGTGTGATGAGGTGAAGGACAGAAATGGTGGACAAACAGCCCCAAACACCCCCATCTTAGTGGGATACTCTTCGGTAATTAAACAATCTGAAATTCAATGTGATTAATGGTAAATCAATGAAATTACGATGGGATTTTATGGGAATACAATGGAATAAATCAAACATGGTAAGCTGAAGAAATTCCAGAATTTACCCTCTTTCATGGGAAAATTCACTATTTCTATGGACCATTTTCGTTATGTTAGTTTATCAGAGGGTATCGAAGTGAATGGGAATTTTCGAGCAAGCCAATGAGTAGAGGCACCCAACGATGGTTGAAACATGTACTGAGAATGCGATGATTTTTGAATGGGGCACCATTAATATATCACCAAGAATATGACTTGAGTTTGTCCAGAAATGAGGTATACCAGGTATACCATGAAAAATCAGGAAAATTAGGGTTGGGTTTCATGGGGTACATTTGGGAATGGTAACCATACCACCTATAAAAATAGTGATTTTATGCTGACTTAATGGAATTTAATGGGATCTAATGGGATCTAATGGGATTTACCCCCTGATAAACGTTTACATAACTATGGAAAGATCCACCATCTTTAAGTTCGGTAAATCAACTATTTCTATGTGCCATGTTCCAGTTCGCAAACTGTCACCAATGTCTCAACTTTCAAAAGGTTAACCATTGGAATTTGAGGCACCCTATCTTCTGAGGCCGTGGAAAATTTGAATTTCCCCATCAGCAACCCCGGCAGATTTGCAAGCCGGATAAGCCCCCAAGCTTGGGGCTGATGCAGAGATCACCCAGAAAGAAAAGGTGATATCAAACCCACCACAATGAGGATATCTCATGGGATAAAATGGATGTCTTGATGGAAACTGCAACAAGAAAATGAATGTATTCATATTATATATATATATATTTGAAAAATGAATAGAATGGAGATGATTTCCCATTTGTTTTTTTTAATAAACGATATTTGGGATGCTTCATGCTTCCCATCTTCCCTTTGCTACGTACTCGATTTGGTCGATGAAAAATGGCGTTGGGATCTTCAAAAAACTACGGAACTTGACCGAAATTCGACGAACCATGGCGTCAACGGAGAATGTGGATATTGTGGATTCAATAACTATGGGATATTGTTAGTTATTGAATCCAATTAAATGGGTAATATATTTGTTAATGGGATTATTGGATAATATCACTGCAATAATAATATATTCTATTAAATTGGATTTAATTGGATTTTATGGTGACTCAATAGACATTTTCATAGGATCTAATGGGATTTACTGGGTAATCTAATTTCATGGTGGTTAAAACAATGCCATAAACTATCCATGACTGGGAATGGTTTATATATAATTAGCACCTATAAAAATGGTGATGACTGGGGGATTGTTTGTTATTGTTTTAACCAGATTAATAGTGTTGTACTAGCTGCTGAAAAAACTGCTTCAAAAGCTAGTACTGAGTCTACTAAGTGTTGGGTTGTGAGTGTTATTTAAAAGGCTGTATTCCTTTCCCATTTCAAAAGTGGGCTAGAATGGTTGTTGGAAAAAAACAAATGTTTGAAAATTGGAAGGCGCTTCCTGGACGCAGCAGCCTATGTTGTAAGTGCTTGGTCATCAACTGCTTACTAGCTGGGATGATAATCCAAGCATTTCAGGCTCGGGAAAATGGTTGATTTTCAAGAATGAAATTACAGCCTACAAGTTGTGTTCACCTGAAGCCCAAACATTATGCAGTGGAATCCCCATGAAACTGGCGCCCTGTTCGCCGAAAAAAAGCAGCCCATTATCCCATCCAGGGTGGTCTTCGTTGGGGTCGAGATTGGCGACCGTTGTTTCTTTGACTGCCGTGAATCCTGGCCATGAAGCCTCCCTTGGACCTGTCAACTGACATGTGTCACAACTGCCGCTGGTGAGAGATCTTCATTGCGGATTGGGCTATGTTTGCCATTGGTTGCCCCATATTTCCTGTGGCATCCCTGTTACTCTCTGGTAATTTGACAGTTTGCTATTGAAAATGGCCCATTGAAATAGTTGATTTACCGAACTTAAAGATGGTGATTTTCCATAGTTATGTTAGTTTACCAGAGGGTATAAATTGCTTTACAAACCCATTTGCTATAGTTATATCCCCCATCAACCATAGAGTTCACCAAGTTCAACCTGCGTCAACGACCACAACCCCCACCACAGCCCCCCCAGTTATTTGTTTTTGGTATGTTTTTCAAGAAGCTGGAAGAATGTTGTCCCATGTTGTCCCCCAAGATGTCGCAGTAAATGTATACATTTTTCTATATATATAGGCTGGTTGGTGGTTTGGAACATTTGTTATTTTTCCATATATTGGGAACAATAATCCCAACTGACTCATATGTTTCAAGATGGTTAAAACCACCAACCAGTCGATATATAGGTCTACTATAGTCTGACTGAGCAGCGGAAGTTCATCCTCGATCCGCCGCTCCGTCGGAATCCGCCGATCCGTCGTCCAGGATGAGTTGCAAGAGATCATTTTGTACCTCCGAGACCCGGATCGCTTCACACGCCTTGGCGCCAAGTTGCCCAAAGGTCCGGGGCCCCCGGGGGGCTCCCTGGTCGTTGCAGAAAGGTTGAACTTGGTGAACTCTATGGTTGATGGGGGATATACCCTCTGTTTATAGCAAGTTACCCATTAAAAATAGTGGATCTTTCCATAGTTGTGTTAGTTTACCAGAGGGTATAACTATAGTAAATGGCTTTGAAAAGCAAATGATCACTGGACCTTGTATTATCAGAACCAGTTTAAGATGACCTGGGGGCCCCTGGGGCTTCCGAAGGTGACAATCTCAACATGGGGAGTCTCTGCATCCCATTCATCGGATGACATGGTTAGTGACACGTGTTGAAAGACGTGAAAAAGCAGATTTCCATCATGTAGAAAGTTGGCGGCCGGGAAGACTCAAATGTAGTAATGAACGATTTGAGTAGTAAGAACGGGTGGGCGAGAAAGACTGAAGCACCAGGGTGATGTCACTAGCAGCAGATTTCTCAGTGCTTGATTCTGCAAGTGCACATAATCTCATGCGGTTGGGTCCACAATCTCTTGGAATTCGTTTAAACATGTTCGCTGCAAACCCAAACGGTTTGCCCGCGGTGAATCCTGCATATCCTTGCTCAAATCCCTGCATAGGGTTTAAGTTGTTTACTTTCCAAAACAACAAACCCTAAAACCCTAACCAGGTCAATCTTACATGGATACTTTAATCCTTTAGTCTTTTGGTATCAATGGGAATATCTACGTTCACCAGCAAAGAATTTATTTTTTTGCAGGGCATCTAAGATTGGCAATGCTAAAACCTAAAACCCTAAATCCTAAAAACCTCAAGTCAAAATCACTGCGTATAGCCAGTGTTTTCATTCGTCCTCTGGTGATAAGTATATCATATTGTCGGGATGTGCTGTTTGAGTGTGGGCGAACCCGGAGTTTGGAGGGAACATGTTTCCACGAATTCACTATGGTCCTTACTACCCCGAATTGGTTTAAACATGTTTGGTTTCAACATCGTTTAAACAAAAAATGTTTGAATCATTGATGAAAACCAACCCTAAGCCCAACCCTGAATCCCACTTTTGGCGATTTCTGGGGTTCCACGGCTCCACAAGTGATGGTTAAGATTGGTGGAACCATGGCATGGAGGATGTTTACCTCACAACTTCATACAACGTCCGGGTTTCCAATGGGCTGGTTATGCTGGTTGTTGTGGAAATTATACTTACAGTTATCATTATACTTCTCTTACTATAGTGTGAACCACGGAAGCATAAACCCTGCGGCACTTGCTGCGTGATTCATCAGGCTGGTCAAACCCCCAAGACAATGACAGTGATGTCATTTGCTGCGTACTAAAAAGGCGATATAACTTCAAAAAAAATGACCCGAGTTCACGTTCTCAAGGTTTAAACCAACAACTACTTTCTTCGAGTGATCCCCACCCACTGACTCTGAAAGTCTATCTGGCACTCTATCTGACATTTTATCTAACATATTTTATCATATGTTCTGACATTCTATCTATCTGGCATTCTATCTGGCATTTCATGTGACATATCCCATAGGATCCATGGTGCTGGTATATATACCTACATTTGGGGTATATTGATGAGATCCATGTTACCATATATGGCAGCACCATGGATCCGTCATGGGTATATTCTGACAGTCGACTGCTGGCATTCTATCTGGCCATAGCAGAATCGGGTGGCATGGCCTGCATCCGGATCCGAAAAGAGACTAAGAAATCTTTGCGAAATAAGACGACCCTCGGCTGGTGGTTTCAAATAATGGTTAATCTATGGTTAATCTATGGTTAAGAATGGTTAATAATTGGAATAACAATATATCTGGTTGGTGGTTTCAAACATGTTTTTTTTTTCCATTTCATATATGGGATGTCATCCTTCCCATTGACGAACTCCATCATTTTTCAAGATGGTTATTGCACCACCAACCTGAAAATCTGGCACCCACAAGCTTAGCTTTCGAGTTTCGCGGATTTCGCGGTCAGGCGTGATGATGAGTGGTTCTCCTGGTACGGGCAAGACACTCCTGGCACGCGCCATTGCGGGTGAAGCAGGGGTGCCCTTTTTGCAGGCACGGTTGGTGAAACCAGGTGCTTGTCGGTGTGCTGGTGTCAACAAGAAAGATAGATCCCCATCCCAAAATGAGGAATTCACCAGGCAAAATTGGCATTCAACCATGAAACATTAAATTTGTTCGATTATATAAATATAATTGAATACATACATATACATATATTATATATATATGATATTTATATATGATATATATATATATATATATGATATATATATATATGATATATATATATATATATGATGTATGAATTATATATGATATATGATATATATATATGATATATATATATACGATATATATATATATATATGATATATATATATATATATGATGTATGAATTATATATGATATATGATATATATATATGATATATATATATATATAGGATATATATATATGATATATATATATATGTGTTTTTTACTTGTTTATCTATCTATTTATGTATTTGTTTATTTGTTTATTTAATTTTTTGATATACATGTATGTATACATATATATATATATATTATACATATGTATATATGTTTTTAAATGGCTATAAGATAGTTTTAATGGGATTATGGGATAGAACGGAGGATATATGCAAGCAACAAAACAACATGATCAACTACTGGAGTCGTTCCATCGGATTTCCCTCGATGGGCGCCGTCGAAGTATAAACTCCTGGAGAAATTCTTCTGGGATTGACATAGTAGCTAGAATGAAAATGTGGTAATGCCTTTCTAGAATTTATGGTCCCCCCGGCACACTCGATCTATTTCGCCAATCTTGGGGTATTGGGTGAGTGATTTCTAGGTACAACCAACCCAATGTACCCCACCTTGTAGGTATGCAGTATCTAATGGCAACTAATAAACGGATTGAACCCGACAATCGACAGCAGGATTTGTCAGCGGAATGAACCACGACCCTCAAACTGACATAGCTCTGGAAAATCACCATGTTCAAGAGGTATCATGGATAAATATGAAAAATTGCCATTTCCATAGCTGTGTTAGCTCACTGGGTGGTAATATTATTTGGTAGACTATTGGTTCCTGAAACTACCCCATTTATTATCATTACATATCACTGCCCCGCTTTTGTTTTTGAATCACCGTGCTATATGAACATTTATGCAAAACAAATCATGTCAACATTTATTGACACCAAAACAAGCACTTAGATAAACTTGTTATACATTAGTTATGGACATATATCCCAGTAATGACACCCGTTGGGTATATCTCCGCCATTTTCAAACACAATAGGTGACCCATTGAAAGCTCCATTCATCCCATATGAACTTTGGCTATGTAAACCCCATTCATCTTCCATTTTTTCCATGAACCCCCATCATTTTTGGTCGCCATCAGTGGGGTTTTTTATGGCCATTCGTTTCAGATCGCTGGGCGGGCCATCTGGAAATAGGGTGGAGGTCATCGCTGACGAGGTCGCTGCCTTGCCAAGCAAAGTCCCATTATGGGAGAGGGGTCTCTATAAATTCCAGAAATGGGTGTGTCTGAAAATAGTGTACCCCTAAACCCAATGGTTTTGCTGATCATTATCCCTATTAAATGGCTATAATTGGGAATATACCCTATTTTCAGACAAACCCAAATGTGTGGGGCCCAGTTATGTTAGTTATCCATTAGTACAATGGTCCAGAATTTACACAAGGCGGTGCCCCAGTTCGGAATCGCTAAGTTGGTGAACATAACTCCAATAACTTGGGTTTATGGGGATTATACACCAAACATAAACTGGGGGGACACCACCTTGTACTACTCCCCAGTCTACTAAATACTAATTCAATTTATGTCTGTTGGTTTATAAAGCCCATGATCTAAATATCTACCATAAACCATAGTTCACTTACACATCAGTATATACACATATACCATTCAATATCACGAACCTAGTTATATTCTGTGGTATTAAGCAACTATAAGCATTCACTATGGTGCCCGTTAACTATAACCACAGTGATATTAATGGTGGTGCTGAATATAACTATAACTAGGTGAATAGAATGCATATTTACATATACTATAGTTAATGTTCAGTTTTGACCACAGTTACTATATATAAAGTTAGTTAGAACCACTTCAATAGTTAGAACCACAGAATTATATCTTTATATCATAGTTAATGGTCATTTTTACCGTATTAATATGCTATACTGCTATACTTTGATATATCTTTTTATTTAGGTCAATTAATATACCATAGTAAATCTTCAGTTTTGACCATCGTATATATATATATTCATAGTTAGAACCACTTCATTAGTTAGAACCGATGTTGGTGATGTTTGATCGTATCAATATACTATCTGGGTAAATTATAACGACCTCACTGTGACCTCACTGGAATCATGGTTAGTAAGGGAAATCATCCCCAAATGGCCGAACTATTCAGGTTAGTGAAATAGTATAATTTACCCAGATACTATACTTGAATGTATCAATGTTGGTGATAGTTTGATCGTATAGTATACTATATATTGATATATGATATACTATACTATACTCTTTATTAATATACTATACTTAAGATAGTATTTTATATAGTACTATACTTTTTATTGATATATAATACTATACTAAATACTATTTATAAAAAGTATTACTATATATATAGTATTATACTTAGTATTAGTATTTTATAATATACTATACAATACTATACTTAAAGATACCCCACCAGTCGATCGCAGCCTCGCAGCGACTCATCGAAGGCCTCGGGCTCGGAGTTCGAGGAGATGTTCGTGGGCGTCGGCGCGCGACGCATCCGGGATCTCTTCCAGGAGGCGCCCAATGGACACGCCACGGGGGAACTCCAGAGCTGGGGAAAGGCAGCAGAAATGGATGGAAAATGGATGGAACATGCTGTTTTTAATGGCTTTGAATGGGATTCTGATGTGTTTTTCATGAGTTTTTGATGAAGTCGCAGTGGGGTTTACGAAAGTTGGAATTTCAGCAGCGCAACTGGATATTTCGACCAACAAAACTGTGGGGAAAATTTGATTTCGAGGCCGAAATATGGGATATATTGGAGGATGTCCCCCAAAGTTTCTTTGTTAATGAGAAGAGTGATCATCAACCCTAAAAAAATTGGGGGTGCCCATCTTCAGACACACCCCTGTAAGGAATTCGGATGCTAAGACCAACAGAGATGCAACAAAATATTGATTAACCATGATTAACCGCCAAAAGTGATGCCGAAAGATGGCATATATGGGATGCTGATGCTGATCCACAATTTGTTCACAGGGTAAGAAAAATACAAGATTGTAGTGGGTGTTTAACGGCAAAACGCAAGCAACAACCATGTCCAAGTTCTGGGGCTTTAGCGCAGCGTCTCCGCTAGCAGACCACACTACAAATCAAGGCTGGTAAAGACATGTACAGACTAAGGAAACTACCGAGAAATTGACTTATTTCATGTTATTTCGATCCGGAAATTACTAGATTATCTAGATTTGTGGCCCAGAAATGTAGGGTAGAAATGGGAATTTCGATTCTCGCAGGGACCTACTTGTCAGATTTCCAAAATGGTACCATGTCTTAATGGGAATTTATGGTGACTTAATGGTGAAAATACTGGTACCATGTCTTTCTGGAGAAATTCAGATGCCCGAAGCTAAAGGAAACCATGAAACTTTCTGGAGAACAGACGAAATCGAAGCAACTACAAGGGTGACTTGATCACCAGACTTCACCATGGTAGCAGTGAAATCTACGTGAGAAGTGCATCACACCTCACTGCGCTGAACTTGGGAAATAACCCACCATAGGATGACCTTAACTCAGTCTGGGGCTAGGGTTTCTACCGATATTATATATATATGTATATATATATATGTATATATATATATATCCAAATGTATATGTGTTTCCAACATGCAGCTACTCAATGCAAGCACTGAAAACGCAGGCCTAGGTCCTTTTGATTAGATTGTGATGATGGCAAAGCATCGGCTATTCCTAAAATCCATTGTTTCTCTCCAGATCCCCATCATCATCATCATCATCATCATCATCATCATCATCATCATCATCATCATCATCTGTCGTTTCTCGCGAACTAAACTTATTTAAGTATATCTACAATGTGAGGCCCCCCAGTGATGTTAGTTGGTTTAGATTCGCCCCAGTAACTAGTTCGTTTTTTGCGTACCATAAACCATAGTGAAATTGGAGTTATGTGCACCAACTTAGCGATTCCGAACCGGGGCCTCACATTGTAAGATACATTCAAGTATAGTATCTCCCATAGGATCCATGTATGGTATATATGCTAACATTTGGGGTATATTTTAGGTCATCTCTCTGTTTCACGTCCCCTAAATTAAGCCCTCCCTTGGCCCAGCCCGGGAGGCCCGGAAACACGCCCCCTGCATCGTCTTCATCGACGAGATCGATGCTGTTGGCTCCAAGCGTTCCTCACGCGACAACACGGCGGTGAGGTGCGGAGTCTCGCCAAGTCGAAGCATCCAAAATGGTTGGCTATTTTTCTAGGTCAATCTGACATGGATACTTTAATCCTTTAGTCTTTTGGTATCAATGGGAATATCTACGTTCACCAGCAAAGAATTTATTTTTTGCAGGGCATCCAAGATTGGCAATGTTTTGGTTTAATAGATTAGTCAAAATGGTTGCTAATTAAAATCATATATATATATATGTATATATGTTTTTTGGGCTACAGTTATAAGCCATAGTTGGTTGTTACACATATAATTATGGATTATGGATGTATATGCGATTAATCTCGAAGTTTAATCAATGTGTTATACATTGGTGTTTTTTTTAAATAGCTCATTGATTTTTTGGAGAACAATGATAATCGACAATCGTATGATAATCAATAGTTATATTATGTGATTATTAACCATCAATAACCATCAAAACTGGAGATTATTGATAATAATTGGCTATTGAATTTTTGGGAACTGATAATCCATATTTTTTTGTGTAATCCCCACCAAGTTTTGTTGCGTTTTTCTCCACTAATCAAACGCAGCGAATGGAGAATCTTCCATGTTTAGTTGATTTTCGCGAAGAACCATCAACCACTAGTCGATGATCCTCTAAGTATCCACCAAAATATGATTTCATTAATG